ATGCATAATAAGGTTGAGATTAGATAGTCTGGCAAATAACAATGTAGGTAAGTGCCAACTCTAAGTTGTCGTGTTGCTTTTTTTTTTTACAAATGTTGAAATGTGTGTTTTGAAATCACGATTAAAGAATGATATTTGTGTTTTATTTGGTGTCTTCAACCTATGCCAACATTTGGTAAATATATATTCAACCTATGCCTACAAACAAAATACAATAGGTGTTGTTATAACATGCAATTATTAATTAATAACAGATAAAATACAGTCAGTATTTTAAGCATTAAATATTACTCTTTAACGATTAGAAACAAACAAAAAGTATTTGCAAAATTGTGCTGCAGTAAAAATAAATTTGAGGAAAAAAAAATTAAAAACGACAAAAATTGTAAAATCGAAAACTTGATACTTGCAAAATTGTGTTAAAGTAAATACTAAATCAATGATAAAAAAGACAAACATTATAAATTGAACACGTATAATACTTGAGAAGAAAAAAGTAAAAAAGCTATTTTACTTGTGAATTTTTATGACAATTTTTGTTAATTATTTTCTGAAACATGCTATAAACAAGCAACACAATATACAGAAATACCATACTTTATCAAAATAATAAATAATTATAAATCCTAATCATATAAATTCTTGGATTATGAAGTTGCAGTACGTAACGCATCTTCTGAATTATATCCTGGTGTTACTGACAAAGGTTGCTTCTTTCATTATATCCAATGTATATGGAGAAAGGCACATGATACTGGTCTTCAAACCCAATACAAGAACAACACTGACATCATCAGATTGGTTCGACGTGAAGCCTTGCTCCCACTTGTACCTATGTCGCATGTAAAGGATGTTTGGTTGAATGCATTAGAAGAAATAGAAGAAACTAAAACAATCATCAACATCAACACAGTTTTTGCCCGGAATTGTTCTGGTTTTATCTGCTTTTTGGTTAATGAGAACTATGATATTAGGGAGAGTTACAATTTTAATTCCTTTAAGGGCTCTCTCTCTCTCTCTCTCTCTCTCTCTCTCTCTCTCTCTCTCTCTCTCTCTCTCTCTCTCTCTCTCTCTCTCTCTCTCTTGTTCAGACTGTCTTATTATCTACCTTATATACGTACATTAAGAAAAAAATGCTTCCTAAGAAAGATCTATAGATATTATTATGATTTTATATTATGTATTTATAGGCATATGGGCTGTTATATTTATGTATAGAATGCTGTAAATATGAAGTTATAAATAATAAAAAATAATAAAAACATTTATTATTACCCAGTGCTTTTTTCCCCAATTCTTCTAGGAATTATTGATAAAGTTGACTGGTTGCCATAGCCTGCATGATCGAAAATTCAAAGTAGAAATTTAATTTTCTAAGGCTTTATTTCAATTTGTTTGACATAACATGTAGAACACTAAAATGTCTTTTTTTGGGGGGGTGGGGGGGGGGGGGGGGGGGGGGGGGGGGGGGGGGGGAATAGGTACCATGCACTTGGACAATTTTCAATGCTTCTATCCGGAGTTGGACGATTTTCTTAAATATGTATGCTGTTGTCACCAATATTTTTACAAGGGTTTAAGGTTGTTAAAGTCTTTTTCTGTTTCTCTGGACTGTTTTTGTATTCCCCAAATTTCACATTTATTTTGTTTTGATTTTATTTTGTTAATATATAGAGTTATACAGAAGTTGGTCAGTTTCTCCCATACAGATAATTCGATATTCAACTCAGCCCAATGTTTTATCATAAAAACCTATTTATTTCCGGACATAGGTCATTGTAAAATGTCAGAAGCCTAGGATATAAATTTCAAGCCCGAACTGACTTGTAAACAATGCCATTGCCGAGTTTTAAGTTTTATAACAGTGCTTTGTTTTCTTTCAATTGAAAGAAGTTTTAAACTTAGTGCGTTTTATTAACTATATCCTGCTGGAAATCCTACTTCCACCTCCCCGTGGTCAGCAGGGGTAACAGATTATATCTGGCGAAAGGAAGAGGTATTCCTTCATCATTCTTATTTTTTTTTCGCTCAAATGTCCTATACTTATATTTTATTTTCGCTCAAATTTCCAATAATAATTTCGGCGCTCAAACGTCCTTTTTTATCGCTCAAATGCCCATTGCCGTTATTTCCAATACCTATGCAACCTTGAGTGATAATTGGATTAAGCTTTTTGCTACTGATGTTTTCAGTTTGTTCTTATGTTGTGTTGTTATTCCACTGTCCCAGGTCAAGGGGGTGGTTGAGGGGGAGAATGGAGTGGTGGCTTTTCTCATCACTTGGCGTCCGTTGTCCGTCGTCGTTAACTTTTACAAAAATCTTCTTCTCTGAAACTACTGATCCAAAGGAGTAGGGGCAATAAGGCCCTTATTTGGCCCAACTATTACTGCGAATTTAAAAGTTATCCTACATATTCTTAAATTTGTCCTAACTAGTTTAAGGTACCAGGTATTCAGAAAATAAAAACAAATTTGACATTTAATGAGTTACCATGGTAACAAACCATGACGAATTCTTATATTTTGTAAAATTTCTCGATTTTCCTTGTTTTTCATCAAATTATAAGTATATTGTAGATTGGCAAAGTATGTGCACATCCAAGAAACAACTTTATATTTGGTGAGATTATGTCAATAGTTATAATAAAGCTTCTCTTAAATTATATTGTTGTTTCTTGGCTGCGCACAATGTTTCCACAATGGAAGTAACGATGGAAAACTGCTTAAATTCTGTATTTTTCGTCATTTTCATGAAAACGGTACATATTATGACGTAACTGTGACGTCATCAGATAAAAAATCTGATGTTTTTCATTTATATTTCTTGACTCTATGCATTTCCTAACATTATATGCCAATTTGGTATAGTTGTCAAACATTTTATTTTCTTGTGCCAAAACCTGACCTTAATGCCCCTACTCCTTTAATCAAATTTGGCCACAATTATCATTACGGTATCTAGTTTAAAAAAAATGTGTCCCATGACCCACCTGCCAACTAAGATGGCCGACATGGCTGAAAATAGAACATAGGCGTAAAATGCAATTTTTGTCTATTATCTTGAAACCACTATAAATAGAGAAAATCCGACAAGGTAGAAATGTTTGGAATGATGAGATCTACTTATTGTCCATTTAATTCAAAACTGTCAGACGAGTTTTTATAGGAGTTATGCCCTTAAATTACGAATTTTACCAACTTTTTAAATTTTTGCCTATTATCTTGAAAATTGTAACAGATAGATAGAAACTTTGTAAAGCAAAAATGATTAGCAAGATAAGTTCTACAAATGAGTCAACATGGTTGAAATCGTCTGATGACCCTTCATCTGAGTAATTGCCCCTTAATTTTTTACTATTTTTTGCGTTTTTGCCTAATATCTGAAAAAGTTTAATAGATAGATAGAAACTTAAATAGGCTAAAATGATCAGCAAGACCAGATCTGCAAATAAGGCGAATAGTTGAAATCGTTTGACGACCCCTTATTGGAGTTTTTGTCCATTAATGATGCGTGTTTGCCTTATATCTGAAAAACTTTATTAGATAGATAGAAACTTAAATAGGCAAAAATGATCAGGAAGACAAGATCTGCAAATAAGTCGAATAGTTGAAATCGTTTGACAACCCATTATTGGAGTTTTTGTCCATTAATGGTGCGTGTTTGCCTTATATCTGAAAAACTATATTAGATAAATAGAAACTTAAATAGCAAAAAGGATCAGCAAGACAAGATCTACAAATAAGCCAACATGGTTTAAATCGTCTGATGACCCCTTATTGGAGTTGTTCTTTTTAATAACGATTTTTATCATTTTTTTTGCGTTGTTGCCTACTATCTGAAAAACTATAGTAGATAGACAGAAACTTAAATAAGCAAAAATGGTCAGCAAAGATTGAGAGTATCCATTGTTGAAGATGTACATAGACCTAGGTGAGCGACACAGGCTCTTTAGAGCCTCTAGTTTTTTTTAGGTGAAGTTAAATAATATTGCAGGATTATGTGGTCTCTTTTATTTATCTGCAATCAGCATAATCTTCAAACTTTAGGTGAAAGGACATCACCTTATTCTAAGCAGGGGGAGTGAAGTTGCAGGATAATGCCAATTTCTTTTTTATTCTATTTGGAACGTAAGTCCTGTATGAATATGAAAATAAGAAGATGGACAACTCGCCACCAGAGACCAAATGACGTAGAAGTAAGAAACCACAGGTCACCTTCAGAAACGAACAGAAAACCCATACCGCATAGCAAGAAGTCCGCTTCACACAACTTGATAAATGAATAAGTCGTCGAGAAGAGGGGGTACAGTTAGTTCACATAGAAATGTCGACTTTCTGTTAAATATACTGTCAATGCAATTTCAAACTTCTTGATGATGTCAGTTACAGAAAACCGTTTTGAAACTGTCTTCAGCAAAATACTGAAGTCTATATAATATTCAAGTTATTTGTCACCCTAAGTCTAGGACTGTATGGGCGTTTGTTCACCTTTAAAAATGATATGACGAACGTGTTGTTGCATTATATTGTTTGGTGGGTGATGCTTTAAACTTTTTTTCTTAACTCTTATTTGTGATTTTTCATCTGCTGTCTTTTTTGTCTAATTATTCGTTGAAATAAATAATATAGTGCGCTACACAATATATCTTCAGCTTTAACACCTATACAATTTAGTGCTATCTTTACAATAGGAACAAAGATAGTTGAACAAAAATAGTATCGGTTGACCCTGTTGCAAATAGTTTTTATAATGAATAATATCATTCACGCATACGCTTACTTTTTATTACTAATTTTAAAGAAGTCCATTAGGCTGCTTAACACATGGAATGCTGAGATTTTGTAATTTCATATCACATTAAAAACCCAACTCAAACACATTCGAACATTAAAATATTTAAATTACACTTAGATTCATATTACAAAGATACCTTGACTTCTGTGTGACATCCAAGTATTGTGTTTAATGAATGCATGAAAGGACATGCTATATATGTCAAAAACTAACACAAAAAGATACTATCTATTACATTTATCTAGATGTAAAAGGAAGACTGCTGTTAAAATTGTTATTCTACTAAAATATTGCTGGAGCTATTGAAGTAAGTAGAGAATAACTTGTTTCATATACATTTACAATCACACTTAACAAAATATTGTAATTATAAAGTTAATGACGTACACTGCTTACAACTATATATGTATATAAATATATATATGGATAAAATCTGTTGTACAGTCGTCACTGGTTCAGACGTACTTATAATATAATTATTTCAGTGACTGCATCTTACATTAATTTGTAGGATCCTTTACAATAGATAATTCAGCTGATCTGTAACAATTCCATCTTGATGCCTTATATATCATGCACTGTGTAACGACGCTAGATAAAAACTGACGAGAAAAGGTTACACCCGGCCACCGAAAACTTTATCATTATAGAGCCTAGGTGGTCGAGTGGTCTAGCGCGTCGGGCATAGTGCAAGACGATTTGGTGCCACGATATCTCAGTAGCATGAGTTCGAATCCCTGGCCAGGGAAGAACAAAAAATTTGCTTCCGCAAATTTACAGATCTAACATTGTTGGGCTGTTGTTTAGACGAATTATATATATATATATATATATATATATATATATATAAGTCTAAAGATTTGCACAACGGTACTAATATCAAAGTACTGAAGTATGATCGGATGACATCGGATGTCTGCTAGTTCTTGTGGATGGTCACAAGCACTTGTCTAAAAAAAAATTACATCTCTATACCTGAAAGTGAGGTTAATAGATATAAGAATATGTGGTATGAGTGCCAATGAGACAACTCTCCATCCAAGTCAAAAGTTAACCATTATAGGTCACAGTACGGTCATCAACACGTACAGATATAAAAAAAATTTCTTAGACAAGTTCGTGCGTGGATGATAAATAAATGATAGGGAATTCAACCTCACCGTAATAAATATGATATTGAAGTGATACAAATCAGTATACTCTGGTTTGTTGTGAAATATTATATTAATATTTGTATATCACAGTTAAATGTATATATAATTTTCATCCATTTGTATATCATTCTATTCTACTATATTAATAATAGTGCAGTGCAAGTGCATGGTGGACACTCTTCTGTAATAATTCGATTTTTCTATTAGATTGGATTTGAGTAGGCATTCACATTTTCCCGCCAAACTTACAATCTCCCATGCAGAGTTATCGGTCCTTGAGAGAGAGCGAGGACCGATAACTCTGCTTGGGAGATTGCAAACGTTCTTGAGATATTCTTCCGCATGCGTTAACACACATTTTCTGTACGTGTGCATAGATATTAAAGATTTTTTACTTATATATATATATTTCTAACGACAAAACATTTTTATATTATTAATTTATGTTCCAAAAAAATATTTTTAGGAGTATCCATTGAAAAAAATTAATTTATAACAAGCGATAAGGAATGTTATTTTGCACTCCATAATGTCCACGTATTTATCATGTTTATAGATCGGTTACAATCCCAACACAAAAGTTACGTAATGAAAATCTAGGCGACAGCAATACACTGGAATGCCCTCACGGTCATCCGATGTAATAAGATGGTAATATACGAAGATGATGTTATAAAATCGTGTTGACAAATATTTCGGCTTAACAAATAGCCTTCGTCAGTGTCAATAAATTTAACAATACTAATTGTATGTTAAAAATAGCTCAATAATACAGGTAAGTTTTTGTCTATTGATTTAATCCCAAATCTTGAACATCATAATATAAAACATAACTCGATACTCAATAGACGTGACTGTGTATATATACACCCAAAAATGAGTGAAAATAAAACTGCTAGTATTTTTTATTGATGCCGTTTGGATGATGTACATTTGGTTCCTTTATCCAAAAGCTTTCCCGAACCTGTCGCTGGGCATCACTCTAGTGAATGTTCTGTTCAATCACTAGGATTTTCATGCGGTTAAAGTCATCAAGTTTATGACCCGACTGTCTGAAATGCTGACTAGCTGGGATTAGTGGCTTCATAGAGATATCACTCCTATGGCTAGTAATGCGTTTGTGGAAAGGCTGCTTTGACTCACCAACATATTGGAGGCCACAAACCGAACATTCTAGAATGTAAATAATGTTCATACTTTTGCAGTTCACATTGCAAAATATTCTATAGTTATTTCCGGTTTCCTTACTGTGAAAAGTTGATGTGTGATGCATCTGTAGGCAGCATTTGCAGAGTTTTTCATCACACGAACGACATTCTCCGGAAGTACTTCTCGGATCAGACACTTCAGCCCGCACCAGCAGGTTCCGCAGACTATTAGGTTGCCTAAAAGCTAAGATGGGGGGCTCGGGAAAAATCTTGGATAGTTTGGATTTCTTTTCAACTGTTTTCCAATTCTCACGAATGACACCGAAGCTGTTTTTGAGAGATGGGTGGTAAGTAAGAAAACTTGGAGTCCTTTTATTTTTATTTGTATCTTTATATTCTAACAGTTTACTCCTTGGGATAGTTTCCGCATTCTGAAAACTCTTTTTGAATAATTCTGTGTTTATAGCCCTTTTCTTCAAGCGGGATTCGAGTTGACTTAGTCGTTTTTTAGTTGTTTCTGTGTTGGAACATATTCGCTTGACTCTGAGTGCCTGACTGTATGGGATACTCTTAGTACAATGAGCAGGATGGCAACTTTTAGGGGACAGGTATTGGTGAGTATCAGTAGGCTTAGAATATAGGTCTGTGGATATAATGCCATCTGTAAGGGAGCTGGAAGTATCGAGGAAGGTGATTTTGGATTTAGATCTCTCATGAGTAAACTTGATACTTTGATGTATGTTGTTGTCATGAGTGATGAATGTATCTAAATCCTCGTCACTTTTATTCCATTTCATATCCACATCATCTATAAATCTAACCCAGGAAAGCGGTTTTTCGATTGAAGATTCAAGGAGTTGTTTTTCTAGTTTGCCCATAAATAGGTTGGCATATGATGGAGCCATTTTGGTACCCATAGCAGTTCCATTAACTTGTAGATAATGATCTCGATCAAAGGTGAAGTTGTTGTTCTTTAGTACCAGCGTGAGCATTTTGACCAGGCATTCAGTAGGTGGATATTTTACTGGTCGGAAATACCTGACTTCTTTACATGCATCAATTCCATCTCCATGTGGGATATTCGTGTAGAGGGAGGTGACGTCCATAGAGACAAGTGTCGTGTCGGAGGGAAGTGAGATGGTAAGTCTTCAACATGTTGATGAAGATGGAAGTCAACGAATTCCGAGATTTTTTCCGTCGGATGACCGTTCGCTGAAACAGTAGGTCTTCCTGGGTTATTGGCCTTATGAATTTTTGGTAAAAGATAAAATCTGCCCGGTTTTGGATTTTCTGGTTTCAAATATTCAAGAGTTTTTTCATCGATGAAACCATCGTTGTGCATTTCTTCCAAACTATCAGTTATTTCTCTGCTAAAAGATGTTGTAGGATCAGAGTCTAGTTTTCGGTAGAACCTTGCATCGCCAAGCCTCTTGAATATAGGCAGATTTATCCATTACAACCACTACACTGCCTTTGTCTGCAGGTTTAATGACGATATTGTTGTTGGATCGTAAGTTTTTCAGTGCAGTTCGTTCTTCATGGGTAAGATTGTCAAAAGGTTTTGGTTTTCGCTGGTATTTCTAATAATGTCCGACTTAAAATTGTCCATAAATGATTCCAAGGTAGCATTTTTGCTCGGTTAAGGGATCCAAGTACTTTTTTTAATAAATTTATAGTTGTTCTCGTCTTCTGAAATATCTGAGTCACTATCCGAGCTTCTGTTAATATTTTCTTTCGACGCAAACTATTCCTTAATGCAGAGACTTCTGGCAAAATTGTCAAGGTCTTCCTACAATTTAGTTTCATTGATAGAGGCAGGTAGAGGACAGAAATTTAGGCCTCTCGAGAGAAGAGATGTCAACTGGTGTTTGGAAAGATTGACCACAATATTGGAGGGTGAATTAGTCTCTTGTGGCCTACGTTTGAAGCGTCGTACTCTTTTCTTAGTTTATAAATTATTATTATTATGTACATGTTACTGTACTAAAACTAAGAATGCAACACTCTTGTTCAGTTTCAGTCCTCTCTTAATGTTTAATATACTTGTTTCCGCAAACTTTTGGTTTCGAGAGTACCTACTAGTGTTTGGTTTAGAGAATACCTGTTGTCGTTTTGTTTCTTCCAGAAACGATGTGACGAAATCAGCATTTTACGTTTATTGTACATCTTTTTGTAGATTTTTATTTCATTGCATCGTTTCTGTCTAATTAATAGATTTGTCTAAAACAGACTGCATCGGAGAAGTCATAAGGACTTACATGATTTACTTATTGGTTGTAATTAGTTGGCTTTTGAACTAGCTTTCAGTAACTGGAAGTACTCTCAGATCGGCACTTTAATCTCTGTAGTCTCTTTGTTAGTTGTTTTTTTTTTTGGTTTTGTGATTTGTGTCTATCAGATGAGTAAAACCTTTTTAAACTGATTTTTAAAGGGTGCATGTTCTTACGTGTGCTGTTACATCACTGTCCCAAGTAAGGGAAGGATTGAGCGCTATATTCTGCATGTGCCTTTTCCAAACCAGAAGCCTGTATTTCAGTGGTTGTCGTTGATTGCTTTCAATCACATTTGTTTTTCGTTAATTGTTTTGAATAAGCCATTCAAAATGTTTCTTCTTTTGAATTATTTTACATGTTGTCACATCGGGACCTTTTATAGCTAACTATACGGTATAGGTTTTGCTCATTGTTGAATGCCGTACACGGACCTATAGATGTCACATCTATGTCGTTTTGTCTCTGGTGGATATTTGTATATATCTGTATTCTCATAAAGCCAATGCATGACATCAGTACAGAGATAACAACAATAACTATTTACAATAGATACAAAACAAGGAGAGATTTACAAAAGTCACTAGCCAGGAGGACAAATAAAAGTATTAATATTTTCAGAGAATTTAACTGTATTATGTCGTTGTACAAAATAGGAGTATAAATACTCTGTACGTTTTTGATAATAAAAAAAAAGTATATTCAAATATATAGGGATATTCGTCTCCAATTTGT